GGGCGGCCGGCAGGACGGGGCGGCGGGAGCGGGATGAGAGACAGGGGGAGGTATTGGTGGAGCTGCGCCACAGCTGCATGCAGGTGGTCGGCCGCCACGAGCTGCTGGCCCGCATCGTCGCGGACATCGCCGCGCGCGTCACGTCGGGGTTGGGGCCGTCGCCGTTCAAAGGGCTGGAAGGCGGGCTGGAGGGCAGGGAGCTGGTGTATGCAAACGTGAGCCGAGGCGTGAGCCGCGGCGGGAAGCCCGCCGGGCTGCGTTGCAGCAGGAAAGATGAGCCCTTGCACGCCACCGCCCACGCAGCCGTCCGGGCGGACCTGCGCAGCACGGGCGATCCCAGCTGCCGCCGCCGCCGCGGCGCGCCGCAGCTCCGCCTGGCATCTGCGCTGCCGCCCTCTGCTTCAGCCTTCTCCCAGGTCTCTGGCCCCACCTCCTCTGTCAAGTGTTGAACGTGGGTCTGAGCTAACCCCCTCGCGCTCGCTCGCTTCCGCGGGCCGCCGCCGCAGCTGTACGAGAGCCCGTGGGCTTTCGCATACGCCAACCTGTCAGACACGCTGCTCCTGCTGCAGCACAAATCCGACCCCAGCCGCCGCGCGGTGGCGCGGCCGCCGCAAGCCACCCCCGCCGCGGCCGCAGGGGCGGCGCAGCGCGGTGCGCAGGGGGACGGGGGCGGTGCCCCACTCGAGCATGGGGGAAATGACGAGTTGCTGGCTCTGTGTGAGCTGGAGAAGATGGGCTACAAAGTGGCTTGCTGGCAGGAGGCCGAGCCGGTCGGGCGCGCGACAGCTGGCAGGGGTGCCGCCGCGCCGGCAGCTGGCAGGGACCTGACCCAAGACAGCGCTGGCAGCGGCAAGGGCCGCGGCCGTGCCCGCGGCGGCGACGAGGGGGCCTCGGGCGCGCGCAAGCGCGCGGCGCCGTGGCCGGAGGCGGGCGCGGACGAGGAAACTTCCGGCGGCGGTGGCAGCGGCGGCGGCGGCGCCGGTGATGACGGTGGCGTCGCCTCGGCGACACTGAAGGGCGGAGGGAATGGTTTGTCAGAGCAGCGGGGCCCGCAATGCGCGCAGCCCCCTCGGACGCCTCAGCTGTTGAGTGCCCACCAGAAGATGGAACAGCAGGAGCAGCAGCAGGAGCAGCAGCAAGAGGAGCAGCAGGAGGAGCCGCAGGCCGCAGCGTCGGCTGCAACGGCGACGCACCGCGCCGCGCCTCGGCACAGGACGGACCGGCAGCCGGGCTTCAAGGATGAGGGGGAGGGGCCAGGGGAAGTCGGGCAGGCGGATGACGAAATGGAGGCGCAGCCAGAGGGCGCAGGCGTGGATGAGGCGCGGGCGGCATGGCTGGAGCTCATGGAGCCGCCGCCCGGCTTCTCGCAGGACGAGTGCAGGGCGCTGCTGCGGCCGGCCCTGGTGCTGGCGTATATGCTGGCACACAACACCGCCTGCGGGAAAC